TACCGCAATCAAAGACCGGGGGCCTCCGGGCTCAGTGGTGCCCCCCTCAGGTGCAGCTTTAACTGATTTCATGGGCATTACGCTGCCATGCGTTATGTATAAGTTAGGCTGTCGTTGGACAGAGGTTCTGGACTCGTTATCGATACTCTATGTATACGCACAAAATTGAAAAAAATCCATAGAAAGTTCGACGTATGCCAGCGAGTTTTTTGGATGTCAGCCATACGCTTGATAAATTGGCACGGTGTGACGGGGACCTAAAGAAACAAACTGGACCCTCTAAACAGAACCTTAGATGACACACAATCTCCAATCAGATGTGTCCTTAAAGTTTTAGTTTTCATGTTGGCTCAGTGTTTGCCCTCAGTTTTCCTTTCATCGGTTGGGGTGGGGGGGAGTTTTAAAAGACCTCTTGATTTACTTGATTCTCTCCTTTCTAGGTCTTTGCTATCTTTGCGTTTGCCACCACTGGGGGTTACTCTGGAAAAACCCACCTCAACTTTAAATGTCCGCCGTCCGAAGAAGAACAGGATGTCTCTGCTGTGTTCGGCTATCCGTTCAGGTACTGAAAACATCTCAAACATGGTTCTGCCTGATCAGAACAGTAGTTGCTCTGCAGGTTTCATGTTAATCTGCCTCCTATTATGTAAAGAAAAGTTTTCTGCTCTATAAAATAATACGTCATGACAGCTTAATCTCACCTGATGCCATCATACTATAATTCGGTGATCATAGACCGGGGTCATGAACTCTACCTCCACACCATAGCAGCACTCCTTCTCATCCAGATTCTGGGAGACAAACCAAACCTAGGAGTGCAGGAGGATCCAGTCATAATTAGATGTTTGTTTAAGGTGAACATTTGCAAACCACAGATGACTTTTCTTTTTTTATGAGGGGTTTTAGGTCTTATGAAGTTGCAACAGAGCAATTCATTTTAACATAACAACAATAATATGTAGTCTTCTGCAAAAAAAAAAAATACACAAAAAACCCCAACAAAATTAAAACACTGGGACGCTAACATTAATTTACTTCTGCTGGAGTAATAAACATGAATAATAATAATGGTGGTCTAGTGGTTAGAGCTTGGAGCTTGGACTCCTGAGGTTCTGAGTT